GCACCATAAAGAGGAGTGTTTAAGCGTAAAGGTGGCGTAGGTGGGGGTGGAACGGGGGTGGGGGGGGGTGAGCACAAGGGTGAAGGTTGTGGAGGGTGCGAGGGAGTGTACTGGGGGAAGGGGGGGGGGGCGTAGCGGCAGCAATAAGTGTACCCATAAAATTTACATCCCTAGTGTCGGTTACTCTATAGTTCCCAGTCGGGATCATCATCATCGTCATCGTTATCTTCACACACGCGTTCTGACAGGATGTGTGTGTCTGTGTTTGTGTGAGTGTATGTGTGTCTGCCTGTATGTATGTGTATGTGTAAGCATAAGTACATATCAAAAATTAATATGTAAGCATATGTACATATCATAAAAAAATATTGTATTACTATGTTTTCAGAATCCCCCCCCCCCAAAAAAAAAATAATAAAATAAAAAAAAAAAAATAAACAAATAAATAAAAAGATAAGAACATCCCGTATAAAAGTATATACTTCATCTAAAAAAAAAAACATTAATGCTTAAGTACAAATTCCCAAAGGAAAGGCGCTACATACAAGCAAAGAGAGCTATATCTGTTAAGCGATGATGTGACGGCCTTGCTCTGGTGTGTTATCACTTTAATAAGCTTATTGTCTCGTCCAAATGCAGTAAGGGCGTTTATGCCTTTATAGCGATAGAGGGGAGAGAGAAGGCTATAGCAGGGGAGAGGAAGAGGCGGTGAGTGAATGAAGGGAGGGAGAGAGGGAGGTGCGAAGGGAGGGAGTGTGGAGGTGGGAAGGGGAGGGGGAGGAAGGGGAAAGAGGTGAGGGAAGGAGGGAGGAGGTAGGGAGAAAGGGGCATAGGAGGGCAGGGGGCGTAGGGATGGGGGGGAAGAAGTGGGACGTAGGGGGAGAGGGAGGCACGAAGGGAAAGAGGAGGAGGAGGGGGGGAGAAAGGGGAAGCAGGTGAAAGAGGGAGATAAAGTGAGGGGAGGTAGTCCGGTATGGAGGAAGAGAGGGTGAGAAGGTTAACGGGGGGCAGGGTAGGAAAGAGAGAGGAAGGAGGTGGGAGGGTAGGAGGGAGAGAGGGAGAGTAGATGAGAGGGAAGTAGGGAGGGGAAAGGAAGGCGAGAGGGAAGAAGAGAAGGAGGAAAAGCGAGACACGAAGGGAAGGAAGGAAGGAGGTAAGGGAGGAGGCAAAGGGGTAGGGAGTAAGGGAAGGAGGGAGGGGGATGGAGGAGAGGGTATGCAAGGATGGATGGAGATAAGGTGGGAGGGAGAGTAACGGGCAGGATGGAGGGAGGGAGGAAGGGAAGGAGGTGAGTGAAGGAGGGAGAGCGAGGAACAAGGAAAAAAGGGATAAGGAGGAAGGAAAGGAAGGGGTAAGAGGGGAGGAAAAGTAGGTGAGGGAAAGTGGGAGGAGAGGGAGGAGAAGAGAGAGAGAGAGAGAGAGAGAGAGAGAGAGAGAGAGAGAGAGTGAGAGAGAGGAGAGAGAGATAGAGAGAGAGAAAGAAAAGAAGTGAGAGAGAGAAGAAGAAAGTGTGTATATGTGTGTGTGTGTGTGTGTGTGTGTGTGTGAGAGAGAGAGAGAGAGAGAGAGAGAGAGAGAGAGAGAGAGAGAGAGAGAGAGAGAGAGAGAGAGAGAGAGAGATAGGAAACGAAGAGTGAAAGGACCGATAAGATTGAAAAAACAACAACTAATTGACAGCACATAAGGAAGTTTCACAACATACCGCGTAAACTCCAGTGTTTAATAAACAACCATTTTCAACAGTTCACAGTGCCTTATTGTTATCTAAATTATTCAACAATCTTTTAAAACATGACATTCAGTCAGATTTAAACACACAAAAGTAAATAAATGTTAGATAAGTGATTATTATGTCTATGTTTTAATGATTCTCTCTCTCTCTCTCTACATATTCTATGCAGTTTATCCTTTTCAGCCAAAGACTAAGACCAATATAACAAATAAGTGTAAAAGAAAGAAAAAATAACAGAGAAAAGCACAGTTTATACTCGTTTTTTTCAGTTCAATTTACCTGCCTTAATATCTATTTTCTGAGAGGTAAGTGCCCTCTTGTTCCGGATAACTCGTTTGTATAAATATTCTTTTTTATTTGTTTCCCTTTTTGTTGGACGTCATTTTTGCGTTTCCTTTTTTTCTTCTTTTTTTTCTAAAGAATATGTGCTTTCTCCATCTATTTAATTTTCCGTGTATTTATTATCCTTTCTTTTCATTATTTCTTGTTTCATTTACTGATTTTTTTATGGTATTTTTATGTTTATCCTCATACATGTCCATATATTTTTTTATACACATTTCTCACGCGATATGCTCATTCTTACTTTCTTCTTTTGAATCATTTTTGGGCAAAAAGCTATGGATAAATGGAAATGAAAATGGACATTCCATTCCTTAACATGAATTTAAGACACGATTAATAATTTTACTCAGAATCACCTCAAATACCCGATTTCTAAGTCACTATGAATATGAAAACCCCGATAGAAAAAATAGAGAATATTCACTCCATCCACTCAGTCCCCTTTGACATTTCGAATATTTATCCTTTAATTACTTCACGCTAACACTTCATTACATCTCTTTAGTGCTTAACATCTCCTTTAAAGCACGTCGTCACTTCTATCAAAGCAACATTAATGAGCGTGTCTTCGTTACAGTTAATTCAAACATTCATTGCACAAAACATTGCATACACGATACTCTGTAAATGCGGGGAATATGCAAGAGATATATCCGTCCTTTCTAGAGATTAGTAAATATTAGTATTCTAATTTTCCATGATATGAAACACTGCATTAGGATAGAAATAACTTTGCTCGCCCTGACAGTAGGGATCCGAATAATAATAAATTGACACTTTTTGCTATGGTAACTTGACACTGAAAAACTATACTTAAAGCCTTCCTTTTCTTTCTCCCTCCTCCTCCTCCTTCCTTTTCTTTCTCCTATATCCTCCTCCTCCTCCTTCCTTTTCTTTCTCCCTCCTCCTCCCCCTCATCCCTTTTCTTTTTCCCTCTTCCTCCTCCTTTTTCCTTCTTCCTCCTCCCTATGAAACTACACTGATCATAGAATCACGCTGCCAACAAGCAAAGCACTGATCACTCGATGTCATTCTCTTTCGCCTTCGGGAAAGACACTTTATCCTTTCCGTCGTGCTCAAACTCGAAGATGGCGCCGCGGAGGAACTTGAGTCCCAGGTAGGCTTCGTCACCCACGTCCACGCACAGCATCCCTTGTGCCTCGCGCCCGCAGGATGACACCAGGACGTCGTCGAAATCCTCCCACAAGAAGAAGTCTTCCGGCATCTCCAGCGGCATGTCCTTGGCTTGCTCCCTGCTGCAGGTCGCGAAGATGTCCTGACTCGTGTCCAGAAGAACATCAATCTCCGTGCCGGCGATGATGGCGGGCCGCGTTGGGGCGGTGGACATCACGTCCTCGTCGCAAGGACCTCGGATCGTCAGCGTGGGGAACTGGGGGTCGAGGTCGAGTCGGCAGCAGTTGAACCGGAGGAAGTCGCAGCCCAGGATATTCCAGCGCGCTTTCTCGACGTCAACGTCTAGGTAGAAGCATGAATCTTCGATGTCAATGTCGAGAGTGCCTAAGATGTCTTCGTCCTCAGGGTTCGGGACGATCTTGTCCATGACTCCCCATTTCTTTGCTTGGTACTCGGTGACGACGGACGAGGAATACGACGTGTTGATGACGAACATCGTGGGCTGTCCGTAGAGCTCCAAGTCCACTGCCGGGAACTGGCAGCTTTCACTTTTCATGTGGTAGTAGATGGGGATGTTCACGTTAACGGGCATTTCCATATCCTTTTCGAGGAACCGGAAACGAAAAGAAACCCGACTGAAACGGAGAAGTAATGAAAAATTATTTTGGATTCTCGATTGATAGCTGTGTGCGCGTTTGCGTGTGTCTGTTGCGAGAAAAAATACATCAGAACAAATCACTGCATTCTTGAAAAATATATATATTAAGTAAACTGATCTCCAAGCGCCACTTGTAACAACACCAAAGCGTTCAACTCACCTCAGTCGGAAGGAAGTTGCAAAGTCCCAGCGCGCAACCGAAGATGCACCTGCAGCGGCGATCGGCGTTCCTCTGCCCGGACGCCGCGGGCGTTCGCACGCTCGGAGATGGCGCTGCTGATCTCAGCGTCCTTCGGCGCAGTTTGCAGTCACCTCGACCTCAGAGAACTTTACGCGAAATTTGAGAAGAATGTGCTAAATATTCGACAGATCCCCATGCGACGCCAGGGATGAATTGGGTAACAGGAACAATGCTTGTGCAGAATTTTCAGTAAGTGAAATGAGTGAGAGTAAATAAAAAGGATGTCAGAAAACTTGGCAACTTTTCTGCTTGATTGAATGCAGCAATGTATGGTTGCATAACACTGTGCCAAGAATCAAAAATAGGAAATGTTCACAAAGGCCCACATATACATGAATATTTTGCACACAAACAGGCACAGGGACACGCACGCACACGCACATACACACACACGTACACACACGCATATATACATAAAAACGCACACACAAAAAATACACAGATGTAAATAACCAAACATAAGCACAATCCTTGCATATTCGCATGGACGTCTAAAACAAAAACGAAAGAAGAGAAAGCAAACCCGGGCAGCACATCTAAATAATAGACAATCTAGCAAGATTTCCATTTCCCAATCTATTGCGCCACGTCAACGGCGGCCAGCGACACGGGTTTCGCCACATTTTCGCCGATTCAGCGCTCGTGGTGCTGATGTCAGAAAGAAAACATGGCTCTCAATTGCATCAACATTTCACGATAAGCGACATCATATCACCGCGCTGTAACCGTCAACTTGTCAACATGCATTTGCAAATGATTACCAGACCGACGTGCAGCGTGGGATACAGCTGAAGGGCCAAGGGGGAAATACCTGCCACGGAGCAAAATCCTTGAATGCTTTATAAATCTTTGTGAATCCATACTTTTTTTTCAATTTAGCGTTTGGATAAAGAAGAATGGGGAACGAGGAAGGAATGGAAATTGGAGAGATGGAACGAGAGAGAGAGAGAGAGAGAGAGAGAGAGAGAGAGGAGAGAGAGAGAGAGAGAGAGAGAGAGAAGAGAGAGAGAGAGAGAGAGAGAGAGAGAGAGAGAGAGAGGAGTGCGGAGAGCATGACAGCTACAGACAGCGAAGTGAAGAGGGCAAAACATCGGCAATAACGCCATTTAACAACAACAACAACAGTTATGATGAAAACATGAAAAACAACAACAGGAGCACATAATGCAGAGAAATCATGTAATCTACAAACACAAACAGTAATACAATTTCCCTAAGCCAACATACCTCGTCGACAAAGCTAAACAACCCCTTCCTTACTGAATCAACACAGCAGTTACCGGACTTTCTAGACAGCCTTTTCCAATCGTGACCGTCAGATCTCGCTGTCTGTCTACTTCTTTTTCTTCTTCTTCTCCTTCATCATCTCCTTTTCCTTCTTTCTCCTACTTCTCCTTCTTCCTCCTCCCCCAGCCCCTCCTCCTCTTCCTCCCCCACCCCCACCTCCCACCTCCAATCTGTCTCCCCCCTAAAAAAAACTGTTCTCCGCGCTCCTTTGTTTACCTTTCGTCGACAGCGATCTTGACAAGCCGAGTCCGTCCTATGTTGGGAATGCTGGAAGGACTTTAGCGTAACCTCCGAGTCTCAATTTGGGATAAGTTTTTTTTTTCATTTTTCCACTTTTTTTTCTTTTTTTACGTAAGTATGGAGGGAAGAATGATGATAGTGCTGATGATGATGGGGAGGAGGAGGAGGAGGAGGAGGAGGAGGAGGAGGAGGAGAGGAGGAGGAGGAGGAAAGAAGAAGAAGAAGAAGAAGAAGAAGAAGAAGAAGAAAGAAGAAGAAGAAGACAGAAGGAGAGAGAGAGAGAGAGAGAGAGAGAGAGAGAGAGAGAGAGAGAGAGAGAGAGAGAGAGAGAGAGAGAGAGAGAGAGAGAGAGAGAGAGAGAGAGATGATGGATAGAGAGGAGAAGAAGAGGAGGAGGAGGGTGAGGAGGAAGGCAGAGGAGGAGAAGGGGAAGACGAGGAAGAGGAAGAGCAAGATGAGGAGGCAGGGGAGGAGGAGAAGAAGGAGGGGAGGAGGAGGAGCAGGGGGAGGGGGAGAAGGAGAAGGAAGAGCAGGGAGAAGGGCGAGCACAAGGAGGAGAAGGGGGAAGACGAGGAAGAGGAAGAGCAAGATGAGGAGGAGCAGGGGGAGGAGGAGAAGAAGGAGGTGGAGGAGGAGGAGCAGGGGAGGGGGAGAAGGAGAAGGAAGAGCAGGAGAGGGGAGAAGGAGGAGGTGGAGGAGGAGGAGCAGGGGGGTGGGGGAGAAGGAGGAGTGGGAGGAGGAGGAGCAGGAGGGGAGGAAGAGCAGGGTGAGGGGAGAAGGAGGAGGTGGAGGAGGAGGAGCAGGGGGTGGGGGAGAAGGAGGAGGGTGGAGGAGGAGGGGGAGGGAGAGAGGAGAATGCAGGGAAGGGGAGAAAGAGGAGGTGGAGGATGAGAGAGCAAAAGAGAGAAAGAGAGAGAGAGAGAGAGAGAGAGAGAGAGAGAGAGAGAGAGAGAGAGAGAGAGAGAGAGAGAGAGAGAGAGAGAGAGAGAGAGGAGAGAGAGGAGAGAAAGGGGGAGGGGGGAGCCGTGGCGATAGCAAAACCATTCTCGCGACGAAGACACGAACCAACGGTAAAGAATGTTTGTTTCTTGAGTTTTACGAGAAGGCATTTTCCCTTTCTCCTTCACGGCGACAAGATGGCGTTTGTTGCATCAAGCGATAAGTTAGCGCTGTAGCGTTTTACTGCCCTGCTGGACTGCGTCACCGTGATTGAGGGCTGCGTGTTATTTCCACTGTGCAGTTGCAATCTGACAGTGTGCGTGGTTGAGGTGTTGACACGAAGTTCCTGTCACACACAGATACGTACATACATACACATACACATACATACATACATACATGCACACACACACACACACACACACACACACACACACCACACACACACACACACACACACACACACACACACACACACACACACACACACATATATATATATATTATATATTATATATATATATATATATATATATAATATATATATATATATATATATATATAAAGTGCTAATGACAAAAATAATTAATACCATAAAAAAGAGAAAGGGAGGGAAGGAGGGAGGGAGAGAGGAAGAGAGGGAGAGAGGGAGACATACATACAAACATACACACATACATACAAGTAGACAGACAGAAAGATACAAACAAGAAGAGCCAGAGAAAACACAGAAGCGGAAAGAAACAGACACAACAAAACAAAAGCAAAACAAAACAAAAAAACGACCAAAAACAAACAGACAGAGAAAAGATAGCCAGGGAGAAAAAGAGCAATTCCTCCCAGCATCCTCAAAGAACACTCCGGCGCCCAAAGACTCCCTCATTACTAGTCGGAGTGAGCGCGCAATAAACACGCAACACTCGTCCTGTCTTCTGCCGCCGCCGCCGCCGCCGCCGCCGCCTCCGCCGCCAGGGAGATGAAGACATGGCGACGCAGAGACAAATCATCCCGCTCGGTTAATCTCGCCATGATCCCGACTGGCCAATTTGCCATTTCGACCCGGGCGAGGCCTATAATCGGAGGGGACCAATTATAGAAAAAAGAGGAAAAAAAAAAGGCAATAAATTTAGCGTGTGCGGGAGCGAGGGCGAAGGGGGGAAGAAGAGGGAAGGGGGAGGTGGAAAAAAAAGGAGGAAGAGGAAGAGAGGAGGAGGAGGAGGTGGAGAGGAGGAGGAGAAGGTGGGGAGTAGGAGGAGGAGGAAGGAGAAGAGGAAGATGAGGAGTGGGAGGAAGAGGAGGAGGAGGCCCGTAATAGCGCGTCTCCGGCGAAGGCTTACGGGACCTCTTGATTAGCTTCTTGACGGGGCTTTTAAGGTGTCAAATTAGTCATCGGACTTATTTTATAGCCTCGAGAGGGCGGGATGAGGGCGCGGGGGTGAGGGGGCGAAGGGAGAGATGGAGGAGGGTGTGTGGTGTGAGATCGAGGTGAGCGGGCGAAGGGGGAGCGGGGCAATGGGTGCAAAGGGGGCAATGGGTGGGAAGGTGAGGAGGCTCGGGTGAAGGTGAGGGTGAGGAGGGGCGTGTGTAAGGGGGCGATGGGTTGGGGCGGGGTAAGGAGAGGTGAGGGAGCAATGAGTGTTGAAAAGTGAGGGACGAGGAATGAGGAATGAGGGGCGAAGGGTGAGGGGAGCATTGGGTGAGGGGTGAGGGGGGTGAAGTGCGGAGGGTGAGGGGTGAGGGAGGAAGGATAGGTGTCTGTAGAGCATCACGCATACAGATCAGACCAAGGGAGGAAAGGGAGAACAGCTTCATTTCCCTCACCTTTCCTGCCATACTTTCCCTCTTTCACCCTTCAAACCATCATTCGCAATGACCTCTAAACACACAGTTGAGAATGCAGCAACTTTGCATGATTTTTTGCTATGTTAGGACTCGTGTTATGCAACCAAAATTGAAGGGTAAGTTCCCTAATATGACACGGTGTCATACAAGCGGCTTATGTTACTACAGTCATGTAAGGGTGAATGGTGTCATAGAGGGATGGGATGTAAGAAGGGTGTCACACGAGATGGATGGTGTCATGTGATGGATTAAGATACAAGGGAGGAGATAGTGTCATGCAGGTTCTTAGAGTGACAGGACGACAAATGGTGTAGTAATTTCGAAAATGTCACAACTAGATATAAACAAGGTATTCTCGTAGCAAAGTTTTACGGTTAATAATAATCAGTAACAAATGTGAAAATTGAGTCTCTGCAAAGAAAGATGGACTCACAGAAAACTTGTAAGATATATGTGTAATTTTGGTTATAATCGCGTATCTTCTTTGTACTGTAGTTAGGTTCTAATCTATCACGTTTCAAAAATATTCCCTCTGTATAGGAAACCATAAAGGGAAGCCGTGCTAATTAACAACACCCAGAAAATAATAATAATAAAAAAACATGACCATTACATACAGAAGAATCAAATTCTATGTCAGATACTAAAACAGCTAAATATCATTAAAAACATATAGCAGGAGCACACAAAGAACATCCCATAACCTACATTCTCTCTTTTTTTTACTTTAGTTCCCCCTAAAAATTCGACCATCTA